GAAGCCCACTGGAGGAACTTCTCGGGCTGAATGAGCCCCTGCTTCTGCCTTAAGAAAGTCCTACACCGCTGCCCTCCCCCCACACGCCTACCCTGCTTTGGCTCCTGGCTGCCTGTGGACTTCCTCACCCAGTGGGAGGCTATGCCTTCTCTGCCAGCCCTGAAGACCCTGCTTCGTGGAGGCAGAAACTGGGCTTGATCCATGGGACAGCAGCGACTTTACCTGCTGAGCTGGCTGCCTGACTCCAGCTGCTTGTGCAGAGACCTCTCTGCCCTGGCAGCCCAGCTTCCCTGCAGCTTCCTCCTTGCCGTGTGGGGACTGTGTAGGAAACTGCTAGGAAAGAACAGCTGTATGACAAAACTGGCCCTGGGTAGAGAGTAACTGGTAAGGACCCCCCTGCTCCCAGAATCCAGAGGAGGGGGAAGTCGAAGTGTAGTGAAGGCAAGCCTGGCTGTGGCTGAAGTCCCTCCCAAAATCATGCACCAAAAGCCACAAAGGCAGGAGGCAAACAACGACGGCACCAATGTACCTGGGCCAGCCCTTAGGAGCGGGTTTCAAAGTAAAGAAATGTACACAGTTTCTTGCTCTCCAGTAAACTGGTTGGAGGTGTGGTTCGCCTTCTTTCAGAGGGAAAACCAGAAACACTCCCCTTCCTGAGAGTGGATGGGGGCTGATCAAGCTTCATTTAGGAGGGCCGACCCCCTGGAAATCCCGGGCATACTTGGGAACATGCATAGCCTGACTCACCCTGCTTAGTTGCCTCCGCATCCACGCACTAGATGCCTCATCCCTGCACCTTGACTGCCCCATCTCCAACTCCAGCTAACAGGGTTAGCCTCAGTTAACAACACCCTCGCAGGCCTAGTGGGTGAGTAGAGCGCGGTCCCTTCAACCAGCCTGGTTCACAACCGGTGTTCAGGCGCAAAACTCGCAGGTCTGGGTGCTTAGGCAGGGAGTTAGCGAAAACTGGACCAACAGTCCGGATCTCCACCAAGAAGAGAACCATGTGCCAGCACTCTAGAAATTCTAAAGAGGGCCTGGTTAACTGGGGACCCAGTGTAAGACCCAGGAACCTGCCTGCCCTCACAGTCCAGGCTGGCAAGGGGCTCTTAAGCCAAACACTGAAACTCACTCCTGGAACCAATTATCTCCTAGCCCTCTGTCTGCTTTTCCTCCCCCTGAAAGCTTTTTCCGTTAGCCGAGGTCCTGAGAGGTGCCCCCTCCTGCCACAGTCTGGCATTCCTCTCCCCGGGTATCGGCGGGCAAGGGCGCCTGGCTGCCTCCAGGGTTCTGAACAAGCTGGATGGGCCCCGAAAGGTGCTGCGTGTCCAGCTGTGCCAGGGGTGAGGGGCCTGACCACGCCTCCCCCATGTCCTCCCCAAGCATGGGTTCCCAACAGCTCTTCCCCCCAGGTCAAAAGAAGAGGCAATCTGCAGCGGGACTTGGGCTAGGTCCTGGAAGGGGCCTGATGCCTCGTCCCTCCTGACATTGCCCCTTTTAAAGCCCTCCCTCGCGGGGCAACCTGTAATGCCAGCACTTTGGGAGGCTAGGGTGGGGAGATTACCTAAAGTCGGGTTCAAGACCAGCTGGCAAGCTGTTAAACCATCTCTACTAGAAATACAAAAATTAGCCAGTGCATGAAAGCGTGCTGAATACCCAGCTATCGGAGCTGAAGGCAGGAGAATCCTTGCACCCGGGAAAGGGCGGAAGATGCATTGCACTCCAGCTTAGCACAAGAGCAATTCTTCCTCAAAAAAAAAAAAGGCCTCCCCGTGGGGCGGGGCGGGGGTGCTGAGGCAGGTCCTGTTGTCCAGAAACCCGCAATGGTGCAGCCTCCTGTACCACATGGCGGAAAGAGGCCCTGAACTCAGGTCCTCGTAACTCTCTGGGGACGATGTCGGGCAAGTAGGGTGTCCAGACCCTCCCAAAGAAACTCTTGTATTGGAGGGGAGGGTCCTTTGTCTGCAGCTCGAACTGGCTGGTTCACAAGCCCCCCTGCGTTTTTTGGGACTGGGGTCCCACTGTCCTCATGGAAGCTTTCCCTTCCCCTAGCACAACTGCTGTCCAAATGGTCTGGTAAATTTTATTCATGAGGTTAAATTGGCTGAATAATACTGGTGTGACTCCTGGACACAGTGTAAAACCCCGA